TTGTGGCCAGTAGCATTTTCAGGTAGTGAGGCTGGTTTTCTCACACAGAAGGTTGGGAGGTCACGGAGCCTCATGAGGGACTTCTCCAGAGGTTGCCAGGCTTGGAACTACAGAGCCAAACTGCTGCTGAGTGGTAGTGAGGGAAAACTGTCAATTGCAGATGGATGGGACTCATCACAGCCATTTTCTGTGTTCTTTGTATTCTGCTGGGTTTTAGATAACCGGCACTTTCATATGAACCGGTCTCTTTGGCGATGATTTGGACTTTGTTACAGAGAGGATGTGAAAAGGCTAATGACAGATATTAAAGTCCCCAGATAAAGACCGAAGCTAAGCATCTCAAACTAGTACCTTCCTAGTAGGGACTATCTGTGCTTTGATGTTGAGGTTGTGTGTGTGGAATAGCATTAACTGTAGGGTTAGATGGTGGTAAGGCCCCTTTGTATGCTCATACTTGGTCTTTCTAAGCTGTAACTTCTCGAGCATAGTGTTTCAAGTAAAATCACTTCTAACAATTTGCAAAGAATGCTCCTCGTTCATAAAGGTTGAGGTAAAAAGTTGGCATTTGTCCTAATCATGTCCTTTGTCATTTTAATGTCTTTCAGCACCAATAATGTCTTGTTCTTTTCCAGTCTAGACCCTCTGTCCTCCGATAACTTAATCTTCCTTTTTAAAATTACAAAACATGTTTGTACCAGCAGGGATGCATTTGCTCTGAGTTCAGTCTTTAAACTAGGTAGTGTCGGGGACGTGGTGTTTTCTCAGACGTTTGAGCAGATGTCTGGTGCAGCAGGTGTTAGAGCTTGGTTTCCTGTGACTTCAGCTGAGAACTGAAGCTGAAAACGCGTCTGCTTTCTCGTCACTGTGGTACGGCCCTGCCTGCCTTCTGACCCTTCTTCTTTCTAGTGCTTGCTGCACTACACACTAGTGAGGCAGCTCTCTGCCCTCCACAATGGGGAAAGTGTGCAGTTAGGTGCCCCCCGCCGCTGCCTCCTCCCGGGCGCCCCTTTCATCATGCTGACCCAGGAACTAGAACCCTGTACCCATTTGCAGAGTAGCACCACTGGGTGTTGCCTGTAATGCCTTTCAAGTCTTTGGTTCTTTGTAGTTCTCTTTAATCTTTTTTTTTTTTTTTTTTTTTTTTTTTTTTTTTTTTTTTTTTTTTTTTTTTTTTTTTTTTTTTGGTACCAGGGATTGAACTCGGGTCCTTGCGCTTGCAAGGCAGGCCACCGAATCGCTGAGCTAAATCCCCAGCCCTCTTTGTAGTTCTCTTTAACTTGCGAAAATCTTACAGGCATCTAGGCAGTCGTAGTCTCCACCCCTCTACGTAATTTTGTGGCAAGACTTACAGTGAAAGGATCAGATGCTTTGGAAGTAAACAGGATTGGCCAGTTACCTCAGTCATCGTGAGCACACGTGTTAGCCTCTGTGGTCAGCTCTCTCATCTGTAAAGCAGCCGGGTGAAGAACACTAACTTGCTGCAGGGCGGCGGGCTCGCGGCAGCCGCCGATGTGTGTATAGGGCCCCAGTTCAGCGGAGCCGCTACCGCCTGCACCAAGCGTCACCGTGTCCTCTCCTCCCTGCCCTGAGGACTGGCTGTGTGCTAAGTATGATGTCTGTCTGCACAGTGAGAGTTATGAAATAAACTCCAGACTTTTTGGTCTTTCTTGATAATGACCAGGTTTTCTTTCTTATGTACAGCATATCCTGCTCCTCTAACAAGTATTAGAGGACGAAAACCTCTTTTTGGAGAAATAGGACATACTATTATGAACTTACTTGTCGTAAGTAATTGAACTATTTTATTAAGTACTCTTACACTGTTACTTTTTAAAGTTATTTAGCAAATTTTACAGTTACATTTTCCATTTTAATTCAGCATGTTTGGTATAATGAGCATTCTTTATAATTCTAGTTCATTTATGTAAATGGGCCCTGCTTTTGATGAGTTGCTTTTTTTAGAAATAGTAGCTGCTCATTTACATGCCCTTGATTCTAATTGCCTTTTAATTAATTCTGCTGTGGTTCCTACATAATCAGGTAATGTGAGACCTCTATACGGACCTCTGAAATTAGTTCAAGAGTTATTTAAGTCAGTCAGTTTTAAGATTTTGAGCAAAGTATGGTTTTAGTTCCTCATTTGTGATTGCAGGTTGGATTAGGTTAGGTTCCCTTCCCTGTAATCTGTAATTTTATGTTTATCTGTTACTATGGAAGGAATTTAGTGAGGGCATATTTTAACCCATGTCTGGCTTGGAGACTCTGGTCAGCTTTCCCTTATTGTGACAGAACGCCCACAGCAGTCAGCAGGGAAGCAGGGAAACTGAGCTTGGCTCATGGGTTCAGAGCTTTCAGACCATGGTCGCTTGGCCCTGCTGCTTGGGCCGTGGTGCCCCGTCCGTCCTGGCAGGGGAAGCCTGTTTGCCTTACAATGCCAGGAAACACAGATAAGCAGGGAGTGGCGGTGGGAGTCTGGTGTCCCTTTCATGGGCACCCCCAAAACCTCAGCTCTTTCCAGCGGGCCCCCAAGGTTCCATGACCTCCACAGGACCACGGGCTGGGACCAAGCCTCAACATGGACCTTGGAACTCACAGAAAGCGCATGGCAAGGCCCGGTCTGTTCTGGAAGGTCTGTAGCTAGGAAAGGATGACACCAAGAGTGCAGAGTACTGCTCAAGCACAATGCTCGTTTTTCCTGTGGGGAAGCAGCTGGGAGGGTAAGGCGTTTACATGGGACTGGCTCTCTGGGTGCCATTTTGAGAGCTATGTGTCAGATGCCTTAAAACAACAGATACTGAATATTTATGGATAGTAGTGTAAGGTTCATGGACTGTGATTATTTATCTAGGATCTTCGAAATTACCAGTATACCTTGCATAATATAGATCAGCTGTTGATTCATATGGAAATGGGGAAAAGCTGTATAAAAATACCTCGGAAAAAATACAGTGATGTAAGTATAATTGTGTTATCCAAATGTTAACGACAGGTATTGAATATCAGTTCCTTAGACTTGTGTCAAATTGCATTTTTTGTTTTGAATTAGGGACACAAATAATTGAAATTTTAGAATTTGTTTAATCCTGTTTTTAAGATCTTTCCTTATTGTTTTATCTGTTAATTGGGGTAGTTTTACTTTAAAACACTGATTGCCATAACACTCATAGGGAGTTGTCAAGACCAAAGCCTGATACAGTGGACCTTTGACCTAAGAGCTCAGTTCGTTCCCAAGGGCTGGTTGAACTCAGGTTGGTCAATTGAAGGCTCACGCTCCTCTACACAGCCTTCAAAATCTCTCCTGCACACAGGCCCATCTCAGTGACCCTGGGGAGACCCTGGCCCAGGCTTTCTCAGTGAACCCCACACAGGAGTGGATGCTGTCATGTTCCTTCCGGAGTTCCTGAAGGGTTCAGTCTGAATCTGAGACCATCTGGAAGCACAAGTGGCTGGTAACTCCAGACTTTGGTCGTAAATTAAAACCAAAATTCCGGTCATAATCCAAATTGTTCATAGGTCAGGCCAGTCGTGCCTCGAGGGGTCACTGTGATTACAGAGAGCTGATGATGAATTTCATTCTCAGAGTAGGTGGAAGGGATTGTTTCGTGCCCAGCTGACTGTTGTGGGTTCCAGGTGATGAGGGTGCTGAACTCCTCCAACGAGCACGTCATCAGCATCGGAGCCAGCTTCAGCGCTGACGCCGACTCCCACCTGGTCTGTGTGCAGAGCGCGGGAGCCTACCACACCCAGGCCAGTGGCGCGCCCGGCCATGCACGCAGAGGTGAGCGCCGCTGAGCAGGGCCCGGGGCCCAACCACTAACCTGGGCACCCGGCCACCAGCAGCTCCCCTTGGCTGTACCAGCTGTGTGGGGTGGGAGTCAGAGCGATCCTGCAATCCTCAGGGCCGCGGTATGTGTGGCCTGCCCCAGTGGAGCAGGGAGCAGACAGGGTGCAGGATGGTCTGGGGGTGGCGCAAGAACCCCGGCCAGCTGCCCCGCTCGGAGTAGCAGGGCGACTGCGGTGCGGGCAGTGCGGTGGCCTAGCGGGTTCCTGCCGCTCCTGAAGGCCCTCCTGACTACAGGCCTGCAGAGCGCGTTTACAGTCACAAGGGAAGCCCTGGTGGCGTTTTACTGTATTTCCATACATTTATGTTAAAAAGGCTATTTTATGCTAGCTATTTACACTTTTGTGCCATTTTTCATCATTAAAATTTAACGACTTTTTAATATTTATTTAATAGATTCTTATTTATACGAAAAAATTCAAAAGATTTAACTGTGTTTACAGTAGTGAAAGATCTTTCTTCCCTCACCCCCACCACCCTCCTCTCCTGCGCAGTGTGCACACATGTATATCTGACCTTTCACTTGTTTAGTTTTTGGTGGGGGGTTGTTTCTTGAGATAGGGTCTTGCTATGTAGTCCAGGCTGGCCTTGAACTAGAGGCAGTCCTCCTGCCTCAGCCTCCTGCTTTCTGGAATTACAGGTTTGTACCACCATGCCAGGCATCGCACTAGACAAGGCGGATTTGTTCCATTGTGCCTTGCTTTTTCTGTTGTTGAAATACATCTTGGAGATGATTCTATGTTGGAGAAGAGCTTTCACATTCCATTTTCTAACTCCATTTTCTGTGTACCATTTAACTGTCATCTTAGTAGACTCAAGCTGTTACTAATCCTCAGCTACTTATAACAGTGCCTCTCTGAATAACCTTGTCTGTGTGCCATTTTGTGCACCATTGAACCTGCTGGTGGGCTGGGTTCCTGGAAGTCGTGTTGGTGTGTTTCACAAATTGTGTGTAGTTGTGATTTTAGTGTATTGTCAGGTGAAGCCTCCACAGTGTTCTGTGTAGGCTCTCAGCAGCAGCAGTGTCCCACACCCTCACTGACACAGACACAGATATTTAAGACAATGTGATGCTCATCACTTACTAGATATTAATGTTGAATTATTTTATGTAGTATTTTATTTTTGAGACAGGGTCTCACCATGTAGTTGAAACTGATCTGAAACTCACTGTATAGCCCAGGATGGTCTCAAACTCACAGTGCTCCTCCTGCCTCAGCCTCCCAAATGCTGGGATTACAGGCGTGTGCCACCACACCTGGCTATTTTATGTAGTATTTGATCTTTATTTCATTTGGGTTTCTGGTGTGTTATGAACAAAACATATATTGGGTACTTAAATGTGCGTGTCCCACATCCTGAATTTAACTACTGCCATATAAATAGAATGGGCAGGTGAAGACAAATAACTGTCGTATTTTGTCCTTAGTGACAGGTGCGAGTTTTGTGGTGTTCAGTGGTGCTCTGAAGTCATCTTCGGGATTTCTTGCCAAGTCCAGCATAGTTGAAGGTATGAGCTTCATTTTTAAGATTTCTTTCATGTGAAGTTGTTTTTCTATTACCTTTGAAAATCTGTCTGTTGCTCACAAAAGAATATATGTACCTTATAAAGAGCAGCGCACAGACTTGCGTGAAATCGTCACTGGTCCAGCAGCTCATCTCGGGCCTGCTTAACCTCCTTCCTCCTCTGCCTAGGACTCAGCTGCTCATTGATTGCTTCTCATTCTCTTCCTGACTTTTTATCTACTTAGTGATGTGTTTATGCACTATATAATTACGCTTATTTAGGAGATTTAGAAAAATGATACCATTCCTCACATTGTCAATAAGTTAGTATTTTCATACTTTTTTTTTTTTTTTTTT